CCACCCCCGTCAGGCGTTGCCGCCGGCATCACCGGCGGAAAGTCCTTCGCAAGACAAAAAAGAGCGGCTGATGCCTTGCCGTTGCTCTCACATACCGTAGAGCTGTGCTGAATGCTACGTAGTCGTCGTCGCCTTTCCCTACGTCGCCACGACCTGCTCGGTGTTGAGTGTGCCAAGATCAATGACGCTGGTGCAGTGATTTGATGGTCGGTGGGAAGCTGCGAGGGGTCGTGGTGGCGCACCGGCTGCGGGTCTTTGAGAAAGGGCGCCAGCTCATCATCGTCCCTGTAATGACGCTCCTCCTCTTCCATAATACGGAGGGGCAACACCCCGCGCAAAAAGGAGCGCCCATCGCCGCCTCCATGACTGTGAGAGCCGCAAAGGCTCGTCCCGTTGGCGCGGTAGTACACACCACCCACAAGTTCGTCATCCCCGCAGCAGCTGGAGACGTTGCGGCGGCGGTCCGACGGCAGCAAAGGCCCGGACTGCAGCAGCGCCACATGCCGCCTGGGAGACTGATCGATGCGCCGCGTCAGATGTTCAACGTACGTGGCGTCCTCCGCCTCTGCCTCTCCCTCAACAAAGTGCAGCTGCATGTAGGCGTCACATGGCAAGTGGTTCTGTTCAGCGTAGTCCATGTCCTGTACACGAACGTGGTAAGTGTCCCGAGAAACGAAGATGGTGCTGAATGCCCACCGAGCAAGCACGCGGGGCTTCAACGAGGGCTCCGGCTGCCCCGGAGGCGCGTGCGACGGCAGCTCGTAGTGCAGCAGCGAAATGATGAAGTCCCCAAACACGCACTGCTTCGGGTGAAGGGAAATCTGCAAGGTGTTGTCGTCATCCTTCGCCTCCCACGCAGTGAGGTCGCTGAAGGTATGTGTCTTGCCCTCATTCTCGACGCGCAGGCCAAGCTGCATGCCCCTGAGGGAGGCTATTTCGTGCAGTGACACAGCTGTCAGCCACGTTCGGCGCAAGTGGACACTCGGCAAGATGGGCACGTCAAGCAGGAGCTGGAAGTAGTTCACGTAAGTTTCCTGTGATGCCGCGTGGTACCTGCTTCGGCGAATGCCCAGCATTTCCTCCACGAACCCCAGCGTGTAGCTCCCGCCGTCCGATGGGCATCCAGCAAAGATGTGGTAGCACGTTGCGATCATGGCGGCGTAGCTTGGGTATGTGATGCAGGAGCTTTCCTCAAGAAAGGCCAACACCACAACGTGGCCACTCTTGCTGGGGGTCTGCGTCCACTTCATGATGATGATGCAAAGCTCCATCAGCAGTCTGAAGTCCTCCAGTGGCTGCTTGGAGAAATCCATCAGCTCGCCCTGCAGGCAGGCATCCTCAAGGTCCATCATTAGAGGCGAGAAATTCAAAATGGCAAAATTGCTGTTGTAAGTCTTTTCCAGTGTGCGACAGTTGACACGGATGTTCCTCGCCGTGCTGCTACTGAGCACAAGGCTACCCCTGCTGTCTATGGAGCTGCTGCCACACGGGATTTGCCAAATAAACACGGGGTAGTCAAACAGTCGCCTCAAGCAGTCCTCATGCGAGGGACGGAAAAGACTCCCAAAAATATTCATCGGGCCTTCTCTGTGAATTCAATCAGGATGATGCGGTGGCCGCTGTGACTGTGCAGCGGCTGCTGGATGCTGGTGACGCGCTTCCCACGCCACCACTGCCAGCCGATCCTTATCTACGCACGCCCTACCCACTAGCGGAGGGCAGTGCAAGGGCGAGGAAGGGAGAGGAGGAGGTACACAGTGTGCAACGTCACAGAGAAACTACAAACACGTGGACACGGTATGCTGCACGAAAGCCCCCCACCAAAACGCAACAACAAAATAAAATAAAAAATGAAGAGTCCAGAAAAACTTCCGCTCACACATTATGCCGTCGCCGCAAAGGAGGCAGCGCCTTCTTTGGGTGGAGGCTGCCAGGTGTCAACTGTCGCAATCCCCCAACCGGAGAGGCCCAATCGACCCAAAGAAGTTTTCATCGTTTTTCTCGGAAAGGAACGTAATAACTACTCTCCGCAACACTCCCGCATGCGCAAAGGGCCACACTTACTCCACCCACATCCACCGGCCACATGTATACGGCCGAAGGTGAGGTAATGCAGCGACCCGGAATAAAAAAAAAACAATAAAAAATAAACATCAAAACAAGAAAAAAGAATCGAACAACCTACTATTGGACATCTTGCAACTCGAAGAAAAGGTTTCCATCGTGCGCTCAAGCCTCGCCGTCTCTTTGCGCACCTTTCGCCGCAACATCTCCGTCTCATCTTCGGTCAGCTCCTCCGCAGCCCCCTCCCTTGGCGAGCAGCCGACGGCACCCGGTTGCTGCTGCCCCAGCTCGCCCTTCTG